AGGAATTGGTTCATTTATCAGAATTGCCACCAACACCTCTTCATATTTCAGAAGACTCAAGTTCACCTGAAAGAACTGTACCCCAAGATTCTTCTGTGATTTCTACGCTTGTAGACCAAGCAACAAAGAACAAAGTTGATGCTTTAGAAGTATCTGAATCAAAAGGTGGTGTGGAAGAGAAATCACAAGAAGTACAGACTTGTAGGAATGTGGAGGGCATTAATGTGGAAAATCCAGATTTCAAGGCTGTTGGTTCCAGTACTGGAGAGAAAAACGAAAGAACTTCGGTTGTGGAAGCAGTGAGAAAGTGTTGGCCCAACAGACTTGCAAAGGAGCAAATTAGTAAGCGTCTTGATGGTAAGGAATGCTGTTCGTTGAACCACTTTCAAAGTCTTGTGTTCCAAGTAAGATGACACCCAATGTCAGATTTGGGCTTACACACACATACCATGAAAACCTGAATAATTGTTTTGACATTAGTTGACCAGGGTAGTGTTGTGTTTGTGTGTTGTTGAGTTAGAGAAAGGTGATATTTTTTGCAGGCAGTTCTGTGATAAAACCCAGGGCTTCAGATGGCCAGGCAAGATCTACCAACTGAGTTATAAATTCAGCTCCAAGAGTGGGTTTTAAATTACGTTACTGTGCTGTTTTAAGTGGTAGGCATGACTTAATAAATGACTGAGATTTTATTTTTTTTAACTGTGGGTCAGCTTACACACATAATCATGTTCTAGGTGAGAAAACTCAGGATTGAAGGCCTTATATATGAAGGAAGAGGTACTGCCAGATAAAATTCTAGGTCTGCCTTGAGGATGTACCCTCTTCTAGAAGCTGCCTTGTTTCACATCTTACTGGACATCTGCTTTATCCTATCAACTGTTAACATAGGTGGAATAGTTTACTTTTTGAAAGATACTATATAATAGGTAAATCCAAACTTAAGTTATGGCACAACCTCTACAATACTTTGTAGAAACTAATTTTGGTCTTTTTAGATCAGGCCTCACACTTGAAGAGCAAGCTGGCCTTTATTAGTTTTTTTTCGAGACAGGGTTTCTCTGTGTAGTTTTGGCACCTTTCCTTGGAACTCACTTTGTAGCCCAGGCTGGCCTCGAACTCAGAGATCCGCCTGACGCTACCCCCCCCCCCCCCCCCCAATTAAAGGTGCACGCCACCACCGCCCAGCTGCAAGCTGGTATTTAAATGTATGCAGCCTTGATCCTTGGTAAGCATCCAGACAACAGCAGGGCACTGTAATATAAAATCCGTTTTCCATGCCCTATAGAAATAAAACATCACCAGACATTTTATATGTAGCTTTCCTGCCCTGATAGCTGGGATTAAAGGTGATGCTCGGCTTTGAAATTAAAAAAATTTAGTTTCTGAAGAACGTAGCACAGATCCTTCCCTTTTAGGTGCTAGAATTGTGGCCATGAGCCATCACAGAGCAATTATATAATTATTAATGGTTAACTTCCTGCTTCCATCTCCCCAGTGCTAGGATTAAGAAATATGTGCCACTTGGCTTATGTAATGCTGTGTATGAATTCAAATTCTAGTGAGCGGAATAAATCTTTGACCTTTGGCAGTATACTGAATTCTGGAGGCACTATCTACTTCTGTCTGTATAATTGTAAAAACAGGCGATAAAATCTTTTAATACTTGTGAAGCAGACTACTACTTTGTTTTGAACTAAACACGCTCCACAAAATACCCTGATAATAGAGCCCAACATTTGTTTGGGAATTATAGTAGAGGTGATTTAGTTATGCAACATACCTCCTCAGGCCCCTGTACACACACACATACACACACACACACACACAGTGGGAGACTTAGCTCTTAGCTCTGTGAATTGTACTTGCCTGTATCAACTAACGTGTAAGCCTACAATACATATCTTTGTAAGTCTCAGTGTTCAGGAGGTAGAACGAAGATAACGAGTTCAAGGCAGAGCTGGGTCAAACAGGTAATAATACAACAAAACCACAAACTAGAAAGTTTGTGAGCCTTCCAGGGTGTACCCACTGGACACTTCTAGAATGCTTCTCCTGCCAAACTAAAGGTAACATTTCTTACTGCTATATTTCAGGTAATCAGTACCTTTTTGTACCACCAAATCGTTACATATTCCATGGTGCGGAGGTGTACTCAGACTCTGAAGACGATGTCTTATCCTCTAGTTCCTGTGGCAGTAACAGTGACAGTGGCACATGCCCGAGTCCAAGTTTAGGAGAACCCATGGAAGATGAAAGTGAGATTGAAGAGTTCTATAATGGCTTGGAAGATGATAATGATAGACCTGAAGGTGCTGGAGGATCTGGATTTGGAGCCGATGGAGGGGATCAAGAGGGAGTTAATGAAGCTACAGCCATGAGACAGGAGGTGACAGATGTAAACTGTCCATCAGACAAATTATAACATTATTACAGTTGTCCAGGTACAGGAATTGCTCCACCAGCATTGGGAACTTCAGCATGTCAAAATGAATGTTTACTTGTGAACTTGAACAAGGAAATCAGAAAGATGTAATATTTATAGACTGGAAAATAATTGTCATAATTTTTAAAGTTCCATTATTTCTGTACTTGTACATTCAACACTAACTTTTTTTAAGGGTACTAGGTATCTTTAATCAGTTGTTAGTTGACTTCAGTTTCCTTTAAAGGTTCATTTGTATGATACATCCCTATGTATATATAATTTTGTTTTTGCCTATTTTCAACATTTTAAAGTTTTCAAAAAGCCATTGGAATGTTAATGTAAAGGGAACAGCTTATCTAGACCAAAGAATGGTATTTCACACTTTTGTTTGTAACATTGAATAGTTTGAAATCCTCAAATTCTGTTCGGCTGAACTTTTTACTTTTAGCAGTTACCTTTGAAAACACTGGGATTTTCAAAAACTTGTGGCAGCTAACTTTTTAAAATCACAGATGACTTATGTGAGAAGGAAATCAGCATGTGTGGGGAGCACTCAAAACTTGGTGCTCAGAGTTTGAAGCATATTTAGTGCTTAAGATGGCTTTTGTACCTGCTGCAGATGTAATGTCAAAACAAGCCCCTGAGACTAACCTGATAAGTGATTTGAAAATGTTTCACTTGCTCTAGAAACAATAGTGCCTGTCTATAGGTCCCCTTAGGTTGAACAATAGCGAATATTTAAACTATCACTGTGGTAGAGCCTGTGTAGATCTTCACCACAAGTATTAAACTGCCAAGATGTGAACATGCAAAGCCTTTCTGAATCTAATAATGGTACTTAGATTGGGGAGAGTGTAATATTTTGAACTGCTGTTTTTCCACTAATGAGGAAAGCAACAAGTCTCTTAATTATAAGTTCCAAAGTAATAAACTGTAACTCACCCAGAAAGTACATTGTTTCCTGCTGAGAGGATTTGGTGTAATGTATCCCAAAGTGTTAGCCTTGTATTATGGAGACAAATACAAATCAGATAGTCAATGAAACTAGTTCTTATTTATTTAAAAGCTTAGCTTGCCTTAAAACTAGGGATCAGTTTTCTGAACTGCAGAAGCTTTTAGCCTTTCAAACAGTTCACACCTCAAACTGCAGTCAGTACTTATTTTACAGATGACTTTGGAACATTATCCCCAAACTTAAATACTCATGTTTGGTTTATTTATTACCAAAAAAAAAGAAAAAAAGAAAAAGAAAAAAAGTTTTGAAATATAGCTGTTCTTTATACGTAAAATACCCAGCTAGGACCATTACTGCCAGAGGAGAAAACTAATTAAGTAGCTCATTTCCTTACCTAAAAAAGCTCTCTCAATCTGAATTTGGCTTAACTAAAGAATGCCGTATATTTAGTTTTCCATTTGCATGATGTGTTTGTGCTATAGACAATATTTTAAATTGAAAAATTTGTTTTAAATTATTTTTACAGTGAAGACTGTTTTCAGCTCTTTTTATATTGTAAATAGACTTTTATGTAATCCGGCATATGTTTTGTAGACTGTTTAATGACTGGATTATCTTCCTCCAACTTTTGAAATACAGTGTTTTATACTTGTATCTTGTTTTAAAGTCTTATATTAAAACTGTCATTTGACTTTTTTTTTTTTCCTTCCTGTTAACTTACCAGCCCAATAAGGCTTACTCTTGTCAACACTGGTTGTAGCAGATGGTTCTTAGGGGACATAAACCTGGCTCTCAGATTTGCTACTACCTGTGTTAAGACAGGGTGGTGGTGGTGGTGTCTGAGCAGAATGCCTTCCACCTCTGTTACCAACTTACTGTTAAGAGTGGGTTTCAAGCTGGCCATCCAGATGAGCTGGAGCGTGGGATGATAGCCCTAGAAGGGCTCTGTGTGGACCAAATGATGACAGAGCTAAAGTGGAGAAATGGTTTAATGGCTGGAAGGAAATTTGGAAAGGCTGTCAAATGACCCCAGAAACAGCCAGAGCCTCACCTTGTAGTAACAAGATTCAAGGCATAGAGACAAAGATGTAAGCAAGAAATGAACTCTGCCAGGTGTGGTGGGCATGCCTGAAACAATAGGGTCACTGCATGTTTGAGGGCTGCTGAGACCACAGGAGGTGAGCATGCCAGCATGCTGGCCTTCAATGGAACTTAGCAAACTTCAAAGGGAAATGTCATCGTTACAGGGAAGAGTGAAGACACTAAGGATCCATCTAATTTTTTTTTTTTTTTTTTTTGGAGTTGAGGATCGAGCCCAGGGCCTTGTGCTTGCTAGGCAAGCACTCTACCACTGAGGTAAATCCCCAACCCCTCCATCTAAACATTTTTAAGGAGGGATTCCCATTTAATGAATAGCTTGAACAGCCTCAACAACTGAATAGTGTTGACCGCAAAATGTGATGGATTTGTAACTTACAGGAGACTGTTCATCAGTAGCTTGTGACTCCACAGCCTGCTTCTAGCCTGGAGAGTGGGGGGTTCCCTGCATCCATATGGTGCACATAAAAAGACACACAAACTCCTTAAGTTTGAATCTGATGAGAACTGGAAGTTGAAATATTAAGCTATTAAAGTCTTTATTTAAGCTTTTAAAGGCATTTTTTAAATTTAAAAAATAAATATTTGCATTGTAGCTAGCAGAGTTACATGCATTGCATCAACTCAGTTTCACAACTTACTAACAGAGATAACTAAACAGCACCATTAAGACTTTCTAAAGCACTGAGAATAAATACTTGAGTATCTGTAGTTTTGAAGCTGTAACTTTGTGATTGGTTCTCTGTGGCCACTGGCTCTGGTTTTTGGCAACTTTTACTGTCAACACATTTTGACAACCCCACCAGCCAGCATATCCCAGGACTCAGAGGGATGAGCTACAAGTTAATACTTGAAATTTAGGTCTGCAGTGACATATAATGTAGCAAAAAGATTTGTTTCCACCATGCTTTTATAGAGTCAGACAATCATAATTTTTAACCCTTAAAATTCAGCTCAGTTCAATTACAACCATAGAAACTACTGGTATCTGAATGTTACTATTTTATTACAAAACTTTTATTTACAAAATGGAAAAATAAATGACTAAAGGCAGGCCATAGTTAAATGGTTGGTTTTTTTTTTTTTTTTTTTTTACCCAGTGATTGAAGAAACATTAAGCAACATGCACTCACACATCAGGTCATTTCTGAAATATGCAAACTCTTAAAATTCCTGTTAGTAAAACTTTAATGTATTCACAATACTTGTATGTTTATGAGGATGGGGACAATTCATGGTTATGTACAGTAAGTTTAGTATTAACAGTTGCTCAAGTTTTCTTTAATATTTGGCTTTCATCAATACAGTAGTGAACAATTTGCAAGTAAGAATTGCAAATGCTTCTCACTATGCTGAATTCACAAGAAAAAGACAAGTGGTTTGATACCTTTGCACTAAACAGAACAGTCAGAACTCCAAGGTTATATTAAACTGAAGCCTTCATTGTGATCAATAGCTTGAATCAGTTTACATCGTAGAGTTTCTTTTTCTGTATATTTTGGGAGATCTAAAAGATTAAAACACGTATGGGAAACCGGGAGATAGCTCTCACCACCTCCTGTTGACTGGATGACTAGTTTCAGACTCTTCATACCAAGAATGGGAATGCGATCACTACCTGTCAAAAATACTGCCAAGAAAAACGATTTAGACAACAGTCCAGTGACCACAGCCCAGCTTTGCATGAAAATCCACCCACCATATGACCCTAATTATTTTTACAGGAAGTACTCAATAGATACTTGGTGAATAATGTTGGAATTGACAAAAGCATTTAGAAATCCCTTTTGGAAAAGCCATTTAGGGAACTGGTTAAATTAGTGTTTTTGTTATTTTTGTGTGTGGAAATGAAAATTTTCAGAAGTTCTCTCCTGCCATATGGATTCCAGGTTCTGCTTTTTACTTTGAAACAGGATCTTGGTAACTGCCCAGACATCAACTCTATTTCCAGCAGACTTTGAACTTGAGATCTTATTCCAGTCTTTGGGGCCTTTGCAAAAGCAGTGCACATTTTTTTTTTTTTTTTTTTTTTTTTAGGTTTTTCGAGACAGGGTTTCTCTGTGCAGCTTTGTGCCTTTCCTGGATCTCGCTCATCTAGACCAGGCTGGCCTTGAACTCACAAAGATCCGCCTGCCTCTGCCTCCCAAGTGCTGGGATTAAAGGCGTGCGCCACCACCGCCCGGCGCAGTGCACATTCTTAAGTGGATAAATGGGGAGAGTTTCAAGAGAGGAATGCCCTAGAACATTTTTATGAATGGGAAGAAATAGGAAAAGACATCAAGCCATGCCCTGTAGCACAGGATCCAAGTTAGGTTCCCAGCACCCATGTGGTGGCTGTTCACAACCACCTGTAACAATAGCTCCGGGGGATCTGACATCCTCTTCTGGCCTCTGAGGACACGTGCATACATAACACACAGATACAACAATCTTTAAAAAAAATAGCAAAAACTAATTTTAAAAACTGAGCTAATATTTTACAATTTATAACGATTAGATTCTTGTCTCAGAATATGCAGCTGGTCGGAAATACTTACATAGAAATTGTTTCTTCTTTTCCAGTGGTAATTCATGAAACACTTCCCAAAAAATTTTGATCGTGGGATGTTCTGCCCAATACTCCCCTTTGTATTCGGTATTCTAAAAAGAACACAACCTTTTTTTAGCAATAAGGAATATATATTAAACTAGTAAAGTGGCTCCCGTAAAACCTATCATGGTTGAAGAGTAGGAACTACTGTGATCCTGTATTTATAATCTGAAGCTACTAGTTCCCAGGAAAAGGGAAGAACAGATCTAAAATCGTCAGAAATGCTTGTGCAACACTATCAATAATGATTCAAACAGTGTGAAACGTTTATTAAAATACCAACATGGAATTTTAGACAAGTTTCTTTTACTATTTTCAGGGAGAGAAATCAAACATTTTGTACTATTTTTTTTTTTTTCTTTTTAAAATGAAAATACTGAGAGCAACAGTGACAATGTCCTGTGAAGGTTTCTGAGATGGCCCGTAACAGCCTCCTACAAGTCTTTTTTGTAGACCCTTCCCTACAGGGATGGGCCTGACCTTATCACACCAATTGAACACTAGATTTGCTAGGGAAACAGGGAACCCAAAGTCTTCATCGAGCACTGGGTGGAGGGCCATTCGGTTGGGGGCTCCTATAGCACTTTCCTGAGCACCCCACCAGTGCCATGGAACACTCAATGCACTGTGTGGGTAGGAGGGGCAGGGGTGTCTTCATAGCCACAGCAGTGAGCTGTACGAAGGGCAACAACAGCACACAGGCTAGATTTCCAACAACAAGCCATGTTCTACTCTGAAAGGTAAAGCTTGGTTTTTCCTTACCTTCTCCAGTTCTTTCCAGTCATAGTTTGTATTCCCAATAACCATAGCTTGTAATTCATTAGGCTGAAAAAGCAGAAGAACTTTTCCTCCACAGACCTTATGAAAGCCTGCATGGAAAGCATCAAATAAAGATGCCACTGATTTATTGAATATGTAATCCACATAGGCATCGACGAACTCTTGCCTAGAAATGAAACCAAGGCACAGATACACAGATTACACATACATTTATAGAGAACACCCAATACTGTCCAATTAAATTTTTGCTCCTTCACTTCTTGCTATTTTTCAACTAAAATTAGAAAAGTTAAGATTTCAAAGGGACACTATCATTAGGGAGAAAACTAAACCAAACCAAAACCACACCAAACCCAGGACAGTCATGGCTATGTAGAAAGAACCTATCTCAAAAAAAAAAAAAAAAAAAAAAAGGCATGATTATTCCCAGGCTATTTGTAGTGAGAGGGGAAAAACTGGCTATCAATAATTTCAAAATATATCCAAATCACTGAGAACTATTAAGAAGACTCCTGAAAGTGATTTCCCACCCTTTGGCTCATTAGTTGCCACCATTTCCTCTGTCATTTGTCTTTGTTCCTTCATTCATCATCTTTTTATTCCTTTACTTACAGCTTAAAGGGGATTTTAGGAGCAAAGGCATATTACTTTCCCATTAAACATTCAATTCTGTTTGTTTGCTTTCAGACTGTTTTGAGACATGGTCTCCTGGAGTCCTGGCTGGATCAGAGGCTGAGGTGCTGGGAATAAAGGCATTCACCACCACACACACCCTACAATACTGTCTTCTTCAAGTGGTGACAGGTTTCTAGGAACACTGGGAAATGCCCACTAACCCTTGCACTGAGGCCACTGAGGCCACGCAATGAACTCACCGATTCTGTCTGTTCACAGCTGTGTCTGCACCATTCAGAACCAGCTCTTTCACTTCTGTTGCACCGAAGTTTTCAACTGTGATCTGTTAATCAACAAACAATTTAAAAGGTCAATGTTAAAACCCAAAACCTGTAATACTCTTAAATGTAACATTCTTTTCTCTCATTAAACATACAAACTAGCAAATTTATGCTAAAAAGAGCCTACTTAAAACTAGGCTTAGGGGGCTGGGGAGATGGCTCAGAGGTTAAGAGCACTGACTGCTCTTCTAGAGGTCCTGAGTTCAATTCCCAGCACCCACATGGTGGCTCACAACCATCTGTAATGAGATCTGGTGCCCTCTTCCGATTACATAATAAATAAATCTTAAAAAAAAAAAACAAAAAAAAAACTAGGCTTTAGAGCCTCAACTAGGCCTCCCCCTTTTCTAGTCGCCTGACAGTCTACTGCAACCCCTGATACATTCCCATGTACTTGGGCAGCTGAATACAGGCAACCTGAGCATTTCTCCTGATCCAACAGGCAAACAACCACTTCAAAATGTAACCACATCGCAGGAAGTACTTCCTCAGGAGAGAGACTGAGAACCTGATCTCTGTCTGCATTTACACCAGCAGTACACCCTTCCACATGACAACAACTTTCCCATCTTCTCTGTCATGTTCACTTGACAGGGAGTTTTCAGTTACATATTCATTTGGTTTATAAGGTGATAGTATTTCAAAACCTTTTCTTTCTCCTACTAGTCCATTTTTTGTATCCACAGAGAGCTATGGGAATACATTCTTCTTGCTTTTAGTTCACTATCTTGTAAGGGATAAATACTTGTCAAAAGGATAAGAACACAATTTTACCACACCACATAGAAGTCATCTCAACAAAACTATACTATTCCATACACATACATCAACCCAACAAAAGGACAAGTAAGAAAGTAGATATAAAGTTCTGAAAGTGTATGGCAAGTGGCTCGAACAAAAGGGCAGAGTATATGAAAGAATATTGTATGATGTAATTATATAAACAGTGGAGTAACTGCAAAGTCAAACCATAGAAGCTACAGAAATGACTCAGTGGATAAAGTGCTTGCTTTGCAAAAATGATGAACTGAGCTGGATCCTCAGCACCACTGGGCAGATCAGGCCAGCCAGGCCAGCAAAGGCAGCGACCTCAAGCTACAGCCTCAAAAACTAAGAAGAAAATGAGGACGACATCCCAATGTCACCCTCCAGCCTCCACCTGCACCACATGGGCAAGCCAATCATTGTACACACACACATACAGCACACCACATACACATACAAATTAAAAACAATAAAATAAACTTCAGGAGGTGTTGAGATGGTTCAGCACCTGCTGCCAAATCTGGAACTTGAGTTCACCCCTAAGATCCATACACTGAAGGAGAGCTGATGTCCTATGCTGTCCTTTGAGCTCTACATGTTCAATGTATGAGTCTGTGCATGCCTGTGCATGCATCTGTACACACACCCACACCCACACACCCACACACACTTTTTAAAAAATAGAAATGATGTCTTTGATGTTCTCATAGCTTTTATTGTACAAGCCATAAAAGGAGCCGGAAGAAATGTTTGATTTACCAATATTCCTGAATATATAGGAATGTATGTATTGATAAATAAATTAGAACTTAAACTTCACAAATCTCAATATTTTAGTCAACTATAATACTAACAAAGAGTCAAGGAATCAGGCTGGAGAGATGGCTCAGTGGTTAGGAGCACTTGCTGCTCTTCAATTCCCAGCATTCACATGGCATCTCACAACTGTCTGTAACTCCAGTTCTAGGGGATCCAACACCCTCATACAGACATACATACAGGCAAAACACCAATGCACATACAATAAATGAATCATTAAAAAGTCAAGGAATCGGCCGGGCGGTGGTGGCGCACGCCTTTAATCCCAGCACTCGGGAGGCAGAGCCAGGCGGATCTCTGTGAGTTCGAGGCCAGCCTGGTCTCCAAAGCGAGTTCCAGGAAAGGCGCAAAGCTACACAGAGAAACCCTGTCTCGAAAAACCAAAAAAAAAAAAAAAAAAAAAAAGTCAAGGAATCTTAAATTGACACAAGTGAATCTACAGAAATTGGAAAGCATTCTAAGGTTCCCTCCCCATTCTTTCCTCCTCCTCCTCGTCCTCAACATTCGTCCTCCCACCCCACCCCAAAACAGAGTCTCAATGTATAGTTCTGGCTGTCCTGGAACTCAATATGTAGACCAGACTGGCTCTGAACTCAAAGAGATTCATATGCCTCTGGGGGTTAAAAGTATGTACCACAAGACCTGGCTACTATTTATTATTATTTTTAATGGTTAGTTTATTTTTTATTAACTTCCTCCCAGATTCACTCTTACCTATCATACTGCCCCTGATTTTTGTGAGTTTTTTTTTTTTTAAAGGAACCTATAATCTAATTCTGCCCACTGTTGTGTAACAGTTTCCTCTGAGATCAAAATATTTCATCCCTCAGGGGAAGAAGCATCTTGAGCAAGAAGGTAAACAACATCTGGGCAGTGGTGGTACAGCCTTTAACCCCAGCACTGGGCAGAGGCAAGTGGATCTCTGAGTTTGAGGCCAGCCTGATCTAGAACTGCCAGAGCTACAGACAAACACTGTCTCAAAAACAAAACAAACAAATAAAGAAGGTAAACAACTTAAAATAGCTTCAGGAAGTCCCTGAGACTAATCAGATTCACTAGGATCCTTCTGCCAAAGCAAGCAATAAAAGCTGAGAGAACCTCTCAGACAGAAGGAATCTGAGCTGCAGAGAAGACTTGAAAGCAGACCAGCTGCCTCAAGAAGCAGAAACCATCTGAACACTCTCCAAGTGCTGAGCTGCCTGCAGGCTGTGCAGTGGGCTCCAGGTTCCCAGCTCTGTGAGCTGTCAGCCATGCTGGGGTGGCCTTGGTGATACTGCTGTCACCACTGCTCCTGTAACTCGCTACCCATATTCCTGTAAGTAACCCTAACAAAACTCATCAGCTCACCAAGTTAGACTTTGGTGTATCGGTACAGCTTGCCAGGAAAAGTTGTCATACAGCACCCAAACATAAAGTACTCCCGTGTATGGGATCATCCACTATGGAGTATGGTGAACCTACCAAGAGTCATACCTGTAAAGAAATCTGACCTCCCTTCAAACAGAAGCCATCAAGTTAGGTGTGCAGGTCTGTGTGTGTGTGTGTGTGTGTGTGTGTGTGTGTGTGTGTGTGTGTGTGTGCGTGTGCGCGCGCGCGTGCGCGCGCGCCTGTAAGTGCGGGTGCCTGTGGAGGACAGAGGCATGGGCCCACGCAGCTAAGTTAACGGCAACTGTGAGTTTCCAAACGGAGTGCTGGAAACTGCTGCAAGAGCAGGAAGTGCTCCAGCCCCAGGAAGGTTTTTCTTATGAGAAAAAAATACACAATAATTTGACTTCAGCTTAAACATGTATCAAATTTCCTTACAAATACACCATTCACATCCCAATCCTGTAAGGACCTAAGACGTCTGACAGATGGCTCATTAGGAAAAGCTGCTTGCTGTGCAAACCTGAGAGCCTAGGTTCAATTCTTGGATCCATGGTCAAAGGACAGAACCGACAAAAGAGAGAGTCAAGGATGGACTCAATGAGAAGCAAACAGACATACTGGAGGAATCAATCTACTAAGTAGCTTAAGTTCACTAGTGATACTCTTTTGTTAATCTTTCCATCTCTAATCATTCCTGTATCTACAGGCTCAGAAATGAATAAGTCTCCTGAATTTAAGATCCCTTATCATTATAATTAGCAAAGTATATAATTACTGAAATCACACAGCTGGTGAATGACTGACATGCAATTAATTCAGTTTATCTGTATATTAAGGATTAAAACAATCTCACAGGATTGCTGTGTGATTGTCTGTATGTCAAATGCTCTGATTGGTCAATAAATAAAACACTGATTGGCCAGTGGCCAGGCAGGAAGTATAGGCGGGACTAACAGAGAGGAGAACTGAGAGAACAGGAAGGTGGGAGGAGACACTGCCAGCCTCCGCCATGACAAGCAGCACGTGAAGACGCCGGTAAGCCACGAGCCACGTGGCAAGGTATAGATTTATAGAAATGGATTAATTTAAGATGTAAGAACTAGATAGCTAGAAGCCTGAGCCATTAGGCCAAACAGTTTAAATAATATAAGTGTCTGTGTGTTTATTTTATAAGTGGGCTGTTGGACTACTGGGGTTTGGTGGAATGCGGAGAGAAAACTCTCCAGCTACACAGGATTGTTGAGAATAAAATGAAATAATGCATGCATTGTGGCTGGCACACAGCAAATGTTCAATAAATGTTAGCTGCAGGGTTAAGAATTCCATTTATGGGGCTAGAGAGATGGCTTAGTGGTTAAGAACACTGGCTGATCTTCCAGAGGACCTGGATTCAATTCCCAGAATCCACACAGCAGCTCAGAACCATGTGTAACTCCAATCCCAGGGCACCCTCTTCTGACCTCCATGGGCAGCAGGCATACATGATGTGCAGGTATACAAGCAAACTAAACACCCTTATACACACACATTGGAAAAGAGAAATCCTAAAACACAGGTGTTAAAAAAGGCCACCCGCTTTCTGTTCATCTTACTGTGAAATTCAGACAAAATGTTTCCTCTATGTCATCTTCTGGATAGTCCAGCAACTGCTGCATGCTTCTGCAAAAAAAAAAAAAAGTGCTTATTTAAAGTAAAACAGGTGATTTTAACAATTCTGCTTATGAATATGTCAGACTTTCCATTATTGAAACAGTGTTTACTTAAAATATGTTAACAGAACAACAAAACATGATTATTTCTAGAAAAAAAGCTTTCTCTGGACATTCCTCTCCTCTTAGCCCCAACCCACTCTAAGCTTTTTGAACACTAACCTCCCAACATCGGGCATCAACTCTTTCAGATCATCGAGGGATGGCTTCCGTTTCAGTAGTTTCTTATATAAAGCCAAAGGAAAATGGAGGTCCACAATAGTAAAGTTATAAATTGCCAATCCACAGATAACACCAATTAAATGGAACAAATCACTGTCTTCAAATGTCTAAAAATACAAAGAAGAAATAATAAAAGACATCTCTTCCAAGTTAAAAATCTTGATTTTTAGTACAAAAACACAATCTCTATAGTAGGAAAATTCTGACGACACAAAATTAACAAGAAAGCAGCTCATGGCCATCACTGGGTACATTTCCATTTGATACTGTTATTAAAAACTTGCTTAGGGGGCTGGAGAGATGACTCAGTGGTTAAGAGAATCGATTGGCTACTCTTCCAGAGGTTCTAAGTTAAATTCCTGACAACCATATGGTGGCTCACACCATCTGTAATGAGATCTGGTGCCCCCTCTTCTAGCATGCAGGCGTATGTGCAGACAGAACACTGTATACATAATTAAAAAAAAAAAAAAAAACCTGCTTATTAGCCAGCAGTGGTGGTTAATTCTAGCATTTCGGAGTCAGAGGCAGGTGGATCTCTAAATTCAAGGCCAGCCTGGTCTACAAAGAGAGAGCCAGGACAGTCAGGACTACAGACAGGCACATGGCTTCACATTTGACTTTTTTTCCAGAAACGTTAAGCATTTCCATGTCATTAAACATAAACCGTGGACTGCTAGGCTTGCCCTACTGTGGGTATGGCCCCAAGTCCGATCCCGAGCATGGGATGGAACAAGAGGATGATTGACAGACAACAAAAGCTAAACACTTAAAAATGTGTACATGTGTCTGTGTGTGCATGCCCATGTGTGGTGGCTGATGACAACCCCATGTGTCACCCTCAAGAAAGCTATCCACCTGCTCTGAGGAAAGGCTGGGGGTCAACAGCTAGCCTAGCCTGTCTGCCCCATGAGCTAGAGACCCTCCTGCCTCTGCCTTCCTACCTAGTGTTGGGGTCTCACACCACCATGCCTTGCTTTTGGTTAGTTGTCATTTTTTGAGACAGGGTCTGGCCTAGAACTGCAAGTCTAGATGTAGTCAAGCTGCCCTAAAACTCACCTCTCAACCACAGGGATTGCAGGTGTGAGTCACTATATCTGTTTTTGCCAAGCTTTTTTTAAAAATATTTATTTATACACCATTGGTTGTCTATCTAACATGGCTATACCCTAAAAATGAAATAAATGACTCAACAACTTAAAAAATTGTATTTTCACTTACATAATATTGGTGCCACCATTTGGCTATGTTTTTAAAGTCTAGAACATTTAGCGGAACTAGCAGAGTGCTCAGGGTGTGTGACAAGGCTCTAGGCAACACCTCAAAGCCGTCAGTAGACAAGATGAGACAATGTGGGGTGGCCTCAATAAAGATAACAACTGCAGCAAACTGAGAAACACAACATCAAACACTACACTGTAACCACTGGAGGGTGCTAGAGAACACTGGGTCTATTCAAGAACAGGTACTGAACAGACTGACCCCTTTCCTGGTAAACTAGACACTTATCACATAATGTAGGGGGGAATTCTCTATAAGCATCCAAGACAGTGTAATGATAGTGGCATTATTTTGTTACCTCTCAGGAATTATCCTAGGCACTGAACAATAATAACTGCTACCCTCACACAAGACAGCCAGCCTCCTGCAACGAAGTCTACACACACACACACACACACACACACACACACACACACACACACACACACACACACACACACAGCTGGTAAATACCTCAAGTCTTTGTTGGACACAGGGTACTTGTAACTAATCAACTCTGCCTTTGACACAAACGTGTCAAAAGCAGTCATAGCCAACAGGTGGCTTCCTATATGAAAATGTGAGGTGTGAAGATCTGCTTCACACACTACAATACTGGCCCTTAATCTAAATTGTAAGAGACATCAATAATCTCTAATGATAAATGAGTTCACCCTAGAAGAGAAGCTAATATAGTGATTACTATTCAATTATCAAACTGAAATACAGAGAAGGAAAATTCAGCTTTTTTTGCTTTTTTGAAGACAGGGTTTCTCTGAGTAGCCCTGGCTGTCCTGGAACTAGCTCTCTAAACCAGGCTGGCCTGGAACTCATAGAGATCCACCTGCCTCTGCCTCCCAAGTGCCGATAGGCATAAGCCACAACTGCTCATCAGCATTGTTTTTAAGCTGATTGTTCCTCAATTTATTTTCTTAATTTTAAATATATAAAAATAAGGGTTCTGTTTTGACAGTAAGTCTAAAAGTTCATAACTTCAAGTTGTAATAAAGCAAACCTCTGACCAAACTATATTAGGAATCTAGTCTTCCTGAGTGAATTTGATACACAGGGTATAGAAGCAAAGATATAAAGAAATAATTGTGGTAGATGGGCATTTTACCTTATCTGAAAACCAAATGAGCCTGGAATCTTCGTAATACCGAAACATGCCATATTTAGGATCCAATAATTCCCTCATGATGAGCAAGAAAAACTCTTTGCGTACACCTCCTGCATCAACAGCATCTTCTCCAACAAATATAACCTAAAACGGCAATGTGAACATTGAATGGACGGTAAAGAAATCAAAGTGCATTTCAGAGATCCTGGAACATGCTATTTATTGCTAATAAATCTTAGCAAAAAAAGAAAGAAAAAGAAAAAGGGGTTGGGGATTTAGCTCAGTGGTAAAGCGCTTGCCTAGTAAGCACAAGGCCCTGGGTTCGGTCCTCAGCTCCGGGGGAAGAAAAATAAATAAAAAATGAATAAATCTTAGCAATTTATACTTTCAAACATTAAATATATAATTTAATTTTTAACTTTCCTGAGGCTAAAGAACTGGCTCAGCAGTTGTTGCTCTTGCAGAAAACTCAGGTTGGTTTCCCAGCACCTACTTGGTTCACAACTATCTGTTAACTACAGTTTCATAGGATCTATCTAACTCTCTATTCTGACCTCTGCGGGTGTCAGGCCACACACGATGCACATACATGGAGGCAAAACATATAGAATCAAGTAAGTCTTGATTATTATATAATCAATTATATACTTAAAAAAAAAAACCCCACAAACACTTTCCAATATACACAAAAAGCCTAAAAGGACCTGAAACAGCTTTTAAATAGCAGCCCCAATGCATGTGAAGCGGCGCTCACTTACTTTGAGTGGCTTTTTGTAATCTATGTTCTTGGTTTTCCTGAGGACTTCCATTGCATCTCCTACAATATTCTCTCTGCGAACCACTAGAATTAAGCAGGGATTCACAGACTCAATCACCGGAAGAAAAAGAGAGGAGACATTCTGTCTGTGGGCCTGGTCAATAGCCATCTAGAAAACAAACAACAACAAAATCATCTTTGTTTTACTTTGAGATAGTTTCATTTAACCTAGGCTGGCCTTGAATTTGCTATGTAGTTGACTATGGAGGTTTGAGAGTATACGGTCCCCATAGGCTCATTCATGTATATGAATATTTAGTTCCCAGTGGCAGGCTATTCAGGAAGGATTAGAAGGGTGGCCTTGATGGAGGAGGTGTGTCACTAGGGGGTAGGCGTCCTGCCTACAGATTAGAATATAAAACTCTCAGCTACTGCTTCACTGTCTGCCTCCTGTCATACCGACTAACTCTAAAACTGTAAGCAAGTCCCCCAATTAAATAAGCTTTCCTTAATAAGTTGCCTTAGTCCTGGTGTCTCTTCATAGCAACAGAGCAGGATGGCCATGAACTCCTGCTTTGCTCCACTTTCCAAATGCTGGACTAGGGCTGGGATCACAGGTAAGTACAACCGTGCTCAGCTATTTTATTTTAGTTAGCATAAAGCTTCATTGTGATAGCCTCAATACACACACACTTTTTTTTTTGAGGCAGGGTCTCACTGTGTAGCTTTAGGTGGCCTGGAACTCACAGACATCGCCCTGCTTCTGCCTCCCAAGTGCTAGATTAAAGGCATGTGCCACTTTGCCCAGCCTCTTCCATGAACTAGTTTTTAAAATCTTCATTATGAATAAAAAAGCTCACTGTAAAAGGGAAACAGAAAGGAAAGGAGGCATTCTGAAGGCAGATCTCAGTGATTGAAGCCATTCTGGGCTAGCCAGTCAGGGCTGTGCAGTGAGATCCTGTCTCCCCAACCTCTCCCTGGCCCCCAAACACCAAAAAAGAAAAAACAACAATGACAAAAACTATGACCAACCTCAAAGAAATTTTTCTTTCCTTCCTTCCTTTTTTGAGACAGTCTCTCTATGTAGTCCTGGCTGTTCTGGACCTGGCTACACAGACCAGACTGGCCTCTGAATTCAGAGCTGGGATTAAGTGTGTGTGTCACCATGCCAGGCCACAGGCAATTTCAAACTCTCTTCCCATTAAAGTGATGAAGTGCTTCCAAGTCTGATATTATCTCGCCTTTCATTCCCTCCATCTTTTCTCAAATAACGTGAATAAAGGCTACATTATTCTATTTTTATTACAGTTCCTAATTAGGAGGTGGGGGAAGGTTTATTTTATCCTATAGCTTACAGTCCTTCATGAAGGGAAGCTGGGATAGAAGCTTGAGGTAGGAACCTGGAGCAGAACCTTAACAGAGCTCCTTTTGTAAAATAAGCAGATTTCACATTCCTGTGTGTTATAGCAGTCTTCACAGTTACACAAGGCACTACGCAAAGGACAGTCTACAATACTGTCCCCATCAATTACTACGTGTGCTTCTAATACTCTAAAAAATAAATAAATAAATAAACAAACAAACAAATAAATAAATAAATAAGCAGAGACAAGTTTTGGAAGCATCCTCAAATCAAATTAGCACTGTATAGTGTTTACCTGCATCTGTAAGACTGCATCTGTTTGTAACAGAGTAGTTTTTGCTTGGGCATCAAATACAAATGGATATGTACAAATTGTCACAGGGATATCTGCCAACTGGAAAGAAAGAAATGAACTTATTAGTTCAAGCTGGTTGTGGTGTGTGGGAGCTGTCAATTTTGGTAAAGATGATCATCATACTCTTTGTTCATTCACTAGTATGGTTAGAAATTATTAAAAAGGTCACACTCTCTCGCTCTCTGAGGTAGGGTTTCTCTGTATAGCCTGGGCTGTCTGGGAATTCACCCTGTAGACTAGGTTGGCCTCGAACTCACAGATCCATCTGCCTCTTCCTCCCAAGTGCTGGGATTAAAGGTGTGTGCCACCACGCTCGGCCTAAAAAATTATTTTGTATGGGTATGTATGAAGGCATACTGATGTCATTCATGGCATGCTTGTGAAGGTCAGATATGAGTTCTTTCCATTAGGTGGGTCCTATGGACTGATCCCAGGCTGTCATGTTTGGCAGTAGGTGCCTTTATTTGCTGAACCAATTGCTGAAACTTTTACAAAAATCACATTTTAAAATTGTTATTTTGTGCTTGTTTGTGCATGCATGCCATAATGTGTGTATGGAGGTCAGAGGACAACCTGCGATAGTTATTTCTCTCCTTCCACTATGTGGGTCCAATGGCAGGTATCTTTACCCCCTGAACCCATCTCCTGTTCCTGAGTCTTCATTTCTATACATCACTATGGATCTCTGTTAAGCTCAGTGGTTCTCAATCTTCCTAATGCTATGACCATTTAATACAGCTCCTCATGCTGTGGTGACCCCCAACCGTAAAAGTATTTTCATTGCTACTTCAGAACTGTCATTTCGATACCCTTGGAATTGTAACGTAAATACCTGCTAATTCTGATGGTCTTAGGCGACCCCCATGAGATGGTCATTCGACCCCCAAAGGGATCGCGACCTACAGGTTGAAAATTGCTGCTTTAGCTCCTACAGGGAAGTCTATGTGCTTGTAATATTTCAAATCCTAATCATGTTTTCAAGCTGTTTTCACCTCCCCTTCCCCAATACACACTCTTATGCTGGGATTGTGCATGGAGCCTTGTGCACTGAGCCGTCCCTGGTACCAGTCCTATCTTTCCATAGTTATGTGACACTCTTCTGAAGAAGTAAACAATAGTTTATAATTTAAGCTAACTAACTCTTCATTAGTTCGGGAAAACCACACCAAACAATGCCTAATGCAAAACATAACACATAACATAAAAGAAGTAACACAATACCCTCAGTTCTTAAAAGAAAGCTTAGGGCCATGCATTACTCAGGTCAAAGTACTAGAACTAGTACTTTAATTTACATAGTAAGGTAACACACAGGTAAGAATAATTTTTAAAAAAATAGGTAATTTTACTTCTCTAATACTTAACTCTATTAGGTAAGCATTTATAAAATTTTAAAATAAAATTGTATTTTGGAGAACAGACCACATTTTATATTGGAAGACAAGGAGAGTAAATCTTGTTAGAAGGTATCATATAGGTATAATGTTAAATAACATGACTTTTTTGTTGTTGCTGTTGTTTTTTCCTAAGATAGAGTCTCACTGAACTCACACTATGTAGACCAGGCGGGCCTCAAACTCAGATAAACTGCCTGCCTCTGCATCTCAAGTGCTGGGATTAAAGAAGCAAGCCATCATGCCCAGCAACAGCTTTTAATTTAGAAAACTTTTCTGAAATAATAATATGCAGAATAACTTCTATAGACCTTTTTTTTCCCTTGCTTTTTCGAGACAGGGTTTCTGGGTGCAATAGTCCTAGAACTTGATTTGTAGACCAGGTTGGCCTCAAACTCACAGAGATCTGCCTGCCTCTGCCTCTGCCTCTGCCTCTGCTTGGATTAAAGGCGTGTGCCACCACCGCCTGGCTTAGTTTTATATGCACATTAAAATACAAAAATCACACAAAAGACCAATTTGACTCTTTACAAAGGAAAAAACAGAACATGCTTCATGAAAGAGACTTTATTGCACCCAACTTACCTCAGTTAATCCATGGCTGACATCCTAAGACAGCAATGCAGAATGAGGAAAGAGCAATGTTAGTGTTCTAGTTCTAGTCAACAAGTAATTTATATATCGTTACAGCCGAACATTGATCTAATGAGGTAGGAAAGAAATCAACAAAAAAGTTCACCATTCCACAAGCACCTTTCTACCTCTGTATCTATAAATTTAAGATGTTTGAGTACTCTGTACCATGAAACTAGTAAGTCTAAACATAATGAGATCTGATTTCAGCAACTAAGTTTCCCCGCTTGCAGAATTTACATACTCTAGCAAACTAATTCTTAGCCTGATACTTCTTTATGGCTGTTTCTTTACCTGGAAAAGGGAAGAAATATTTCTCAGACTTGTCTGATCTCAATGAAGTAAAAATGCTTAGTACATTAAAATATTACATGGAAGCAAAATGAGAGATAAGCTGCCATAAATTGTTATGGGACAGACAACCAGAAAGATATAAGGTATCTTATGGTGGTTGTCTTTTTTCCCCTTAAAATTTCTTTCTGAAACACGGTTTCACTGTATAGCTCTGGCTGGAATGAAACTTCCTATATAAGCCAGGAAAGCCTCAAACTCAGAGATCGGCAAGCCTCCGGCTCCTGTATTAAAGTTAAGTATCATCATGCTCAGTCTGTGTCCTTACATTTTTTTGTTTATTGTTATGGACGTGTAAGAGAGAATGCAGGTGTGCCCATGGGGGTTAAGAGATTGCCTGTGTAAGCTGGTTCTCTTCCCAGCACTGTGGGTTCTTACGTTTGCATAGCAAGTGCTTTACCTAACTCTAAGCCATCTTGCTAGCTCTCAGTGTTTTTGAAAACAACATTAACTTAAAATAAAAAACACAACACAAAGATATAGGTTGCTAAATTGTATAAACACAGTATTTATGAAGGAAAAATAATGCAAGTTTACTTAAGAGGATAGAAAGAAATGTATACCTTTTTCCTTCCAAATCCAGGAATTAAACCCAGGGCTTTGCACATACTAAGTCAGTGCTTGAACAGTGAGCTACATCCACAGCCCACATCTGTACAAACTTTTTTACGAGGGGTCTCATGTATTTCATGCTGGCCTTGAACTCTTCTCTTCCTGCCTCCTGGGATTATAGATATATGCTACCATGTTGTTTTGTTTGGTATTGGGTACCAAACCAAGGGCTTCTAACAGATTAAACAAGCATTCTACCAACTGAGTTACGTGCTTTCTTACTGAGTGCTTGCACACATGCTCAGGGTTTACATGTCTAAGTACTAAAATCTTCAAAAATATGCTACTAAATCTGCACCTGGTGACTATTGTAATGAAGAATTAACTTTATCCAAACAGAAGGCATTTGCCCTGGGCTATTATGGGTCTTTGGAATGACAGCGATCTTTAGCTGCTGACAATGTAAATAATACAACTTACGATGCAGACTTCAGCCATCTGATAGTTCTGCCTTTAGGACATTCAGACATGGAGCTGGAGAGATGGCTCAGCAGTTAAGGGCACTTAAATACTCTTAACTCTCTAACAGAGGACAGGGGTTCAGTTCCCAGCACCCACATGGAGCCTCACAACTGTCTGTAACTTAGATCCTGGGGCTCTGATGGCCCCCTAATCTGACCTCTACAGGCACCCCCGCAGCGCGCGCACACACACACACACACACAGTACGTACATACATGCAGGCAAAATACTCATACATGCAAAATTAAAAAAAGTTGAACACAATGTGAGAACTGATGGACACCCAATAAAAACACTGGGCACGCCGGGCGGTGGTGGCGCACGCCTTTAATCCCAGCACTCGGGAGGCAGAGGCGGGCGGATCTCTGTGAGTTCGAGGCCAGCCTGGTCTACAAAGTGAGTCCCAGGAAAGGCGCAAAGCTACAGAGAAACCCTGCCTCGAAAAACCAAAAAAAAAAAAAAAAAAAAAAAACAACACTGGGCACAAGTCAGCCCCATTGCTTAGCAATCTTCTGAGCACTATCAAATAGCAATGCCAGTAACCATTTATGACTTTCCATGAGGAAAGAACAGGAGCTACTGATACCGCTCTTAAAGTCTTCCTGATGTGTCTTAACCTGACCAGTTTTAATTTGTATTCTTAGTCTGTAATAAACTGCACTTGGCTGTGTAGTAGTTCTTTGAGTTCTCTGAAAACTTAACAACAAATGATAAAACCAGAGAATGGAGTGGGACATACCCCCTCCCAACTTGGCAAATGGTTATAAGAAATAAAGACAGTCACATGTGTTTTTCCTCCGATTTTGTAGGTGGCTAAATTCTAACATGCTTTGATAATTGAGAAGAACTCCCTACCTGGGGAAGTTAAATATCAGTGTGTCCTCCCAATGCTGGTCTATCCTGATGTTACACCTGCCCATCTATCATACTAATGAGCATGCCAGGTTGCTAGATCAATCACTATCCATAAATTCCCTAGGACAAATTTAGACACACAGCACAATACTGTATGAACAAGATTTATAACTTACAAATATACAACATCAAAGAAAAAAAAACCCCACAAATCCCATCCCCTACCCCCAAAAAATCACTTAACTCAAATCTCTATGTATTTCAAACATGACAAATCCAACATGGACCTTTCTTTTCTTTTGAAATAGAACGAGGAAAGTGAACTTCTGATCATTTTCTGCCTCCAATTCCTGAGTGCTGGTATTATAAGTATGTCCTACCACACATAGATGATAACTTTAAGTTTTACTTTTTTTTTTTTTTTTTTGGTTTTTCGAGACAGGGTTTCTCTGTGTAGCTTTGCGCCTTTCCTGGGACTCACTTGGTAGTCCAGGCTGGCCTCGAACTCACAGAGATCCGCCTGGCTCTGCCTCCCGAGTGCTGGGATTAAAGGCGTGCGCCACCAAAGTTTTACTTTTAATGCATTTATTTGTGTGTGTGTGTGGGGGGGGTGCGTGCATGCCACAGCATACGTGTGAAGATCAGAGGGTAACTTGTAGGAGTCAGTTTCTTCCACTACATGGGTTCCAAGGAGACCAATCAGGTCATCAGACTTGGTGGCAAGCCCCTTTACCAGCTGAGCCACCTCACTGGCACAGGTCATAACTTTTCAAAAAGAAAAGGAGGAAGAAGGGGAAAGATGGCGCAACAGGTAAGAAGAGCTCTTCCAGAGAACTAGGTTCAATTCCAAGCATCCGCATGGTAGCTCACAACTCTAGTTCCTGAGGACCCAAACACCATCTTCTGACCTCAGTAGGTACTAGGTGCACAAGTGGAGCCCAGATATACATAGAAAGCAAAACACCCATACATATAATAAAAATATATTTTAAATTGCATTTTATTATTTTTAAACTGTGTGTGAGTGTCTGAGTGTGGGCACAGAAAAGGACATTAGATCCTCTGGAGCTGGAGTTATAGGTGGCTGGGACCTGAACTCAAGTACTCTGGAAGAGCAGCCAGTGCTCTAATTTGCTAAGCCATCTCTCCGGCCCCTTATCATAACTCTTGCTGGGTAACTGTACGTAAGCTGCAATGATGACACAGGCCTCTAATCCCAACACTAAGAAGCTGACGCATAACGTTTTTCCAAGGTTGAATCAGGCCTGGAGATAGCAAGAATTTGTCTTCAGAAAAACAACTACTCCCTTACCCTATAAACCAAACTGGCATTCATGTTTGTGATATATAAATACATGTATTTTTGCATATACGTAATTGTACTTCCACACGAATATACACATCATCACAAAACAGCACGAATATTTTTAGGATACTGTTTTTTGTTTGTTTGTTTGCTTTGTTTTTCGAGACAGGGTTTCTCCTAGCTGTCCTGGAACTTGCTTTGTAGACCAGGATGGCCTGCCTCTGCCTCCCGAGTGCTGGGATTAAAAGCGTGCGCCACCACTGCCCAGCTAGGATAGTCTTTAAAACTTTACTAATACTGTGTGAACGCAACTCAGTATTAAGACTAGCAATGAAACTGGGATCTTATTTTTTTTTTAAACTTTAGAGAGACGTCTTTAAAAGTTCTGTGTAGCCGGGCGGTGGTGGCGCACGCCTTTAATCCCAGCACTCGGGAGGCAGAGCCAGGCGGATCTCTGTGAGTTCGAGGCCAGCCTGGGCTACCAAGTGAGTTCCAGGAAAGGCGCAAAGCTACACAGAGAAACCCTGTCTCAAAAAACCAAAAAAAATCAAAAAAACCAAAAAAAAAAAAAAAAAAAAAAAAGTTCTGTGTAAATGCAAAAGTGTGATGAACTCTCTTTAAAACAAAGGAAGAGCCGGGCGGTGGTGGCGCACACCTTTAATCCCAGCACTCGGGAGGCAGAGGCAGGCAGATCTTTTTGAATTCAAGGCCAGCCTGGTCTACAAAGCTAGTTCCAGGAGAGGCGCAAAACTACACAGAGAAACCCTGTCTCAAAAAACAACAACAACAAAAGTTCAAAAAACAAAAACAAAAACAAAGGAAGAACTAGATATAGTGGCACGGCCTTTAATCCCAGAACTCTGGAGGCAGAGGGAGGTGATCTCTATTGAGTTCAAGGCCAGTTTGGTCTACATGGCAGGTTCCAGGCCAAGCAGGGCTGTTTCAAAGAAAAACAAACAAACAACAAAAAAAAGCGCCAGCTTCCTGCAATAATATCACAATCATTAAAAAATGGAGAGGTAAGAACTATACTATAGATCATAAAGAATGAGAAACAAAACAAACAAAAAAACCCTAAAAAATTTATAGTCCTCTATGACTTCATTCTTATCAGAAAATAATGAACAACAAAATAGCTCCTCAATGAGATTTAGTTTGATATCATCATGGTTTTGTACTAAGATTCGTCTGGATGACAAGACTACCAAACTTCATGCAAATATTGAAAGTCAGGAAGAGAGAGCCTATTAAGATGGTTTTACTTTTCCATCAGGCTGGCCCAGAACTCACTGCCTCAGCCAGTGGAGTACTGAGATGACAGGTATATGCCACTCTGTTTGGTTCTCATGGGACAGTAAGGATCTGGTTACTAAAGACCTTCAGTCACATGCAAAGAAGTTCATCTATATGTGGACAATATCAACAATCTGAAATAAAATTAAAACACAGACTCAGTGGTCCCAGGGCTCTCTCCTGCTCCTGAAGCAAACATCTCACAGTATTGCTAAAAGACCCGATATCTATTACTCTGAACATTAGCGAAGAAGTAGGTAACCTTATAGAAAATAAGAAGAGTGCAAAGTCCAAGCAACACCTGCATTTTCTCTAGAAAAATACAATCTTTACTGCTGGTTTGGTGTTGGGAAAATATCTGCATATATGCAATGCATTATTGTAAAAGAATGCACCACTTGGAATAAAAGCTATGAAAATACTTGTTTGGCACATAAGTTCCATCTCCCAGTGCAGAGACGTACCACTCCATAGGCTTGCTGTTGGACCCAGTTGATATAGTCATTCCTTATGTCTATCAGTTCTTGTACTTCATGTATATAAAATTTGTCATACTGTATAAGCTGTCCTGATTTCTCATTTACCTAAAAAAGAAAAAAGAAAGAAGTGTAATTAACATTAAATTTAGAAAGTACTTAAAGCAGAGAGTAAACAGCTCTTAAACTGAAAAAAAAGGCTTTGGAGATTTCTTTGCTAATTTTCTACGGAAAAAACAATTACTGAGTGCCTACTATATATGCAAAATCCTTATCAAGTGCTATGGGAGACAAAAAACCTTTATAGGATGTGATATCTACCTATATTCAGTACCCCAAGTCTAGAAATAAATACCTTTACAACTACAACACACTATAAAATGCAGAAATCAGAAACTCTATGGACTTCAAGTTGGCAAACAGGACCTGAACTGTAATAGCTAATGCCTGATAAATGGTATGCTATTTAATATCTGATTAAGCAAGCCTTTTAATTAGTCTTCTACTTTCAGCTTGTTTATGTGACTGTACACCACACATGTGGGGTACCTTTGAAGGCCAGAAGGAGTGGTCAGGTCCCCTGGAGCTGTAGTAAAATGCAATGGAGAGCAACCTGACATGGGTGCTGGGAACTGAACTCGGGTCCTTGAACAGAGCAGTGCGTGTGCTCGGGCAGTGAGCAATCTCTCCAGGGCCTGATTATGTAAGGTGGTATCTGAACAGGATGAAACAAACCAACCAACCAACCAACCAACCAAGGCTGCAGATTCACTGAAGAGATAAGCAAGTACACAAAAAAGTTAGTCCCTAGTGAAGAGCACCACCATAACCAATACTGGGACAGTGACAGGTCTTCTGCTGATATAGTGCAACAACTGAGTACGCGTACCTTTTTATCAGGCAAACTAACCCAAATCTAACCAAGTCTTAGATCTAACTTCTGGTTTGCAGACAAGACAAAGGGCAGACAAGCACCATATTAAGGACACAATCACAAAAAGCCCCACTGTGGAACTTCCACAACACTCACCACAGTTCTTGAAAAAGACAAGGAAAGAGAAATTATAGGGGGAAAAGGGGTAGGGGTTCTAAAGTGAAAAGGGGGGGGAGGTCTTGTACTAGGTCCTGTAAGATGGTTTGGGGGGGTAAAGGAGCCTGCTGCTATGCCAGACAACCTGATTTGGTTTTCTGGAACCCATGTGGTGGAAGCAGAGAACCAATTCTTGGAATTTGTCTTCTGACCACTCCATAGTAGCTGGGCAACACAGACACACACACAAAGACACAGAAACAGACACACACACACACAAACACACAGTTTTTTTTTAAGAATCCAGAGACGTTCTAGTGGTAGGTACAGAAGCTTACAAAGTCATCCTCCTGATGGTAACAATGGCAAATTCTTGACTATAGATAATATGTTTTCTTTCCCTAATAAAAGAATTAAACTAAAAGTCAGTCAGAGAGGTACAAACACAAACTTCTAATGTCTCCTATAAGAGAATTATCATAACTAATAAGTTGCCAAAGTTATGGAGTAAAAGTTTAACAGTTAAAATTTTCAGCTTAATTTCTCTACCAAGAAAGCTTTGAAAATGAAACATTTAAACTGTATACAATTAAAAATATGAAATATTGAGGACTATTTTTAAAGATTTACTTTATTACTTTATGTGTATGAGTATTTTGCCTACATGTATGTCTGGACCATGTGCACGCCTGTTGCCGGTGGACATCCAGAAGAGGGTGTTGAATTTCCTGGAACTGAGTTACAAATTGTTGTGAGCCACCATGTGGGAGCTGGAAATTGAACCAGGTTCTCTTCAAGATCAACAAGTGCTTTTAACTATTAAGCCAGCTCTCTAGCTGCCTAGGGGTATTTTTAAAAGGATGTATAAGACCCAGAAAAATCACGAGGCAGACTATGATCACAGACTGCAAAGGAAAATACCAAGACTTGACAAACATGTAAACAACAAAATCTAATTGGATTCTGTTTTAAAGAAACAGTGATTTAAAGAATATCCTGCTGTAACTGAGGCAACCTAAATATGCCTGGACACTGTGGGATTATAATGAATTTCCTTAAGAAAATAATGATATTGCTGTTCTGTAGACAATGACTTGTTATCTCGCTCGGAACTGGAATATAAAAAGTGATATATGCATGGGGTGACAGAGATGGCTCAGTGGTTAAGGTCATTTGCTGCTCCTGCAGAGGGACCTGGGTTCTGCTCCCAGCACCCACATGGAGTCTAACAACCATCTGTAACTCCAGCTCCAGGAGATCTAAATGCCCTCTTCTGACCTCAAAGGGCACCATGCATGCATGCATATATCTAGGTACATGGTACACAGACATACATGCAGAGAACACACCCATATACATAAAATAAAAATTAAAAAGAAAGAGTGATATGTAGTATAGTCACAAATGTTTCATTGAAATGTACAGATACTAACCGATAAAGAACAAACAGTATAGGTTAACAACCGATAAATCTAAGCTGGGGAATATAGGTATTCATTGTATTTGTCTTACAATGTTTCAGTATGTATGAAAATAGTTAAAATAAAAACGGAAGAGGGAAGAGGCCAAGCATATAGCACAGTGGTAGAGGCCCGCTTAGCATACAGGAGGTTCTGGGTTCAGTAACATACTTATTACATTACAGACACACATACACATTCATAAGGAAGACAAAATTCAGAAGTGTAAAGATTTAAAAAAAAAAAAAAAAAGGCTGGGTGGCAGTGGTGCACACCTTTACTCCTAGCAGTTCAAGGCCAGTCTGTTCTACAGAGCGAGTTCCAGGACAGCCAGGACACGAGAAACCATCTCAGAAAAAATAAACAAACAAAAAACTACAACAAAAAGTCTGAGAAAGGAGAGACTAGACTTGTAGGCAAAGGAGCGTGCGTTAAATAAAGGAGACAAAATTCATATATCCTGGCTCTAACAAGAAAGACACATGAAACAAAACTGGACAAAAGACACAGCTCAGAGAAAGCTGGGTTAAATTGTCTAGGGAAGCCAACCTAAGTGGAAACTGCCCACTCGGAGATCAGACTAAATGCTCATCACTGTTGGAGAAAGTCTCGACTGTTTTATTAAGGAACTGACAAGAACTGACTGATGAGGAAATAATTTGGAGCTAACAAGTGTGAACTTTTGAAAATTATTCTGTTGGCTCAGTAAGATACAGAAGAATGAGGGGCTCGTGGTAGGAAATGAAGCAGAGTACCGATGAGATTTGAATTTCCCAATAAGACGACATGCAGAGACCACGACAGCTGAATGGACGAAGTCAATTTTTTCCCACAATACTTCAGATCTGGTGAACAACAAAAATGTCAGTAATAACACCTCTAAGTCAGAAGACATCCTTGCATGGCAGGAAGTGGGAGCTGGGGAGGAGGAGGAGGTCTTTGTAAATTCAAGCGTAAGGAGAAGGGACCAGGTGCAAAGGGGTATGATTACAGTACTCAGGAGGTAGAGGCAGGAGGACCAGATGTTTAAAGCTAGCCTAGTGTCTTAAATCTCTAGTGAGGGGAAGCCAATATGAGATACTTAAGACCATGTCAAAAAAAAAAAAAAAAAAAAAAAAAAGAGAGCAGTGGAAAGACTGTGATATAATTGAGAATTGTTTTCTTTAAAGAAAAATGCTACAGCAGTGGTAATAGTTAATTCCACATATATACTAAACAAAACTACCTTCCTAAGGGAAACAACAGAAGTAACTCTGTTAATGGCTCCTCTTTCAGCACAGTGAGTAAATCTACATTAAAAGCTTTTCTTGAGCAGAGCATGGTACCTTCAATCCCAGCATTCACTACACTGAAGTAGGCAGATCTCGAGGAGTGTGCCAGGTCAGCCCGGGACACGGAGTGAGACCCAGTCTCCAAACACAGTAAGACATCCCAACCAATAACCCTGTTCTTGGGGAGGCCGGACGGCTTGCCCGGTGAGGGCTCTTGCCTCCAAGCCTGCCTGCTAAGAGTGTGACCCTTGGATCTACAAGGAGAGGAAAGAACTGACTCCTGCAAGCTGTCCTCAGATCTTCACGTGTGTGCTGCGGGTCATGTACACAAACTAAAGAAATGGGACAGAAATCATTTAACTGGTATGGCATGGTGGACAGAAATCATTTAACTGGTATGGCCTCCTAACCCCAACAAGAAGAATGTCCATGAGTTCAACCCTGGTCAGAATAGTAAGTTCTGGGCCAGCCAGGGCTGCAGTAGGACCATGTCACAAAACAAAAGCCAATGTATCAATAAAATAAACAGCTATTTTCCTAATAAACTTGAACTTCTAAGAAAGCAAAGGAGGGACGAAATCATCAGAGGTATAAATCTAACTGGACAATTCTGGTATTTTAATATCAATTTAATAAAACATCAACCACAAACCTCCAGAAAGAAGAAATGAACCGATGAGAAGTAAAAGGTACACAGATAAGCATACAGTTCAGATTGCAACGAGACTTTAACACAAACCATCTCTATCTGCTGCACCTTTAGAGGGATGTGCAGTAATGAACAGACAGCTACTGTTCATTTTTAGTTGTTAATTTTCACGGATTCCAAACTTTTGCTTTAAAGGGAAATTAGAACAAACACTGCATGCATATCAGTTCTACAAAGAACAAGATCAGAACCTATTTTTTTCAATTGTTTTTTGTTTTTGTTTTTTTCAAGACAGGGTTTCTCTGTGTTGTTTTGGTGCCTGTCTGGATCTTGCTCTGTAGCCCAGGCTGACCTCAAACTCAGAGATCCACTGGCTCTGCCTCCCGAGTGCTGGGATTGCGCCACCACCGCCATCTTTAGACTTCATACTACTTGTGTACATTACTTCATTCACTATCTTTACAAAACAGTACTGCTTTTATTTTTAAAGTTATGGTTTTTTTGTTGTTGTTTTTTTTTTTTTTTTTTTTTTTTTTTTTTCGTTTTTCGAGACAGAGTTTCTCTGTGTAGCTTTGCGCCTTTCCTGGGACTCGCTTGGTAGCCCAGGCTGGCCTCGAACTCACAGAGATCCACCTGGCTCTGCCTCCCGAGTGCTGGGATTAAAGGCGTGCGCCACCACCGCCCGGCTAAAGTTATGT